TTGTCTCCTTTGTCTACCCAAGTTATCTTTTGTTTTGATAGTAAGTATAAATCATGATTTACCGTGCCGTTGTCGATTTGGACATTTTTTGCGTGTGTCATGCCTAGGATTGCCTTGACACATCTTTTACCATTTTCTTATCGATTCATCTTTTTCATTGATGTATAATGTCAAAAGTTATCTTCGTATTGATAAGGATATTTCAGTTTTCTCCTTTGTCTAACCAAATTATCTTTTGTTTTGATAGTGAGCATACATCATGATTTACCGTACCGTTGTCGATTTGGACATTTTTTGTGCCTGTCATGCCTACGATTGCCATGACATATATTTTTTACTTTGTCTTATCGATTTATCTTATTTATTGATGTTTATATTGTTAAAAAGTTATCTTTGTATCTTGGTTGATATGGACATTTTGTTTTATACCATGTCAGTGGCATTGATTCATCCCGTAGCTTTACTATCTTTTCTTACCCTTACCGTTATTATCTTCTGCTTTTTCAAAGACATTACCACAGATTACCTACATACAGATGTGAAAGAGCGGCGAATTCGTGGTTCAAGATTAATTTGATAGACATAGGCTAGCCGCACCAATGCCGCATCAATGTATTTTGAACAAATTTATTATATAAATGCGGAAGCTCAATAATATAATATTATTTCTTTGATTGGTTCACAAACAGCAAAAAAATATTCTTTTCTACCCGCAAAAATATGTAAACACACAGGCTGGAACATGCTCACGCACTCGGCCACGTTAATTGTTCAGGGGCCTCATTCTGTAAGGAACGAACCATTTGATTCGGTAAAATTTCTTCCATTGTGACGTCATTTTCGGTTTGGTAGCGCGGAAACCAAACCGAAAATGACGTCACAATCGAATAAATTCTACCGAATCGAAAAGTTCGTTCCTTACAGAATAAGGCCCCTGACGCGGGCGATCTGTATCTATGCGTCGGGGTGCTGGCCCCCTGGCTTCGTCACAGAATATCGTCGACGGCAAGTATACGTACTTACGCATCTGTATTAGGTGATCTGTGACATTACTGTGGCTTACAAAGATTTATCTCTGGAGTCAGTTCTTATTTCCCTCACAGTACCGTATCGATTTCGATAAGTTTCTGCGGCTCAGCTTATCTATCAATTTCGTTACCTTGGGGTTAAATTAAATGGGGAGTATTCGAAATCGAATCAAATTTCGTATTCGAGAATATTCGAAAATACGACACCAGATTTCACCGGCCATTATCGTCATGAATTGTGTTCGGAATTTTTCCCTGTACCTTTATTTACTACTCTTCCTTACCTACCTCTCTATCTTTCTTTGCAAGGTCAGTTAAGTTTTTAGAGGACCCTACCGAATTATGAGTTTTTCTCAATTATGATTTGAATATGATCCACCAATAATGACTTTTGCGAGGACCAGTGATAGACGTTAGATATCAGCATTTAACTCTTTTTTTTCTTTTCTTCCTTAAGTATGTGTCTATCTTTTTTATGCACTTAGCTTACCTAGTTTTTAAACTCATCTTTTTTTCAAGGAGGGCAGTGTAACATGCTAGATATTACTGTTTTTTTTTTCCCATATATCATTTCCTAAATTGAATTATCACCTTGAATGCTGACAGTCTGGTAACTGCCATTAATAGAATAACCTAGAAGTAGGTTTCTGTCGAAAATAATGATAGCAATTAATTATTAACCTAGAAGGCACGCTTTTGGTTCAAATTTGAATTACCAGTTTGATACCAACACTTTCCGTTGGCTTTTTTTTTGAAGGGATGCTCTGCTTGTTCAGCTTATCTAATTTTTCGTCCCTTTCAAATTTTTCCGTTCGTCCTGAAAGGTCGACTTTGGCCTGGAGGGCAGCAATCTTTCTCAATTGTGATTACTGTTCTCGTGAAGAAAATTACCTTTTCGGCCATTAGGCATTAGTTTAACGAAATAGGGTCGCGCAAGGCAAAGTTCCATTGATTACCGAAAAAATTTAAATCAAAGGTCTCGTGATTACCGTTTTATTCAAGTTTGAATTTCGAACCCCCTCGTCCTTTTTATTTATTTTTTTAGTAATGGTTGTTCATGGAATGCCTCTTTTACTTAGGGTTTTCTGAGGAGCCGTTTTCCCGAGAAGCCTTTTTCTCAAGGAATCCATTTTCAGCAAGCCCACATCTCTGGGCATAGAGCTCTTGAAGTGATTTCCTAGAGGAATCAAGTCCCCCACGTGTCGATACGTGTACCCCCACATCTGACGAAGAAAACTGAACTTCTAGCCTTGATTCAAGGCTAGAATCTGCAACTTTCATTTGCAACTTCCCTCGTCAAGTGACCGAAAATGGAAGACTACCTTACTCTACCTTTTTGTTGGAATGAAGGCTTGTAGTGCGGCAGCTTAGCTAGGATATTTCAACATATTGTGCACTTTTCGATAAAGGCACCAGATTTGATACAGAGGTAGACCGATGGATTTGGATGTAGAGCCATCAGCCAATGTACTATTTCCTAACTTTCACAAGCCGTAATTTTGGCAGGGTAAATAGTAACAACTTAAAATTATGAGGATAAAACTCTCAATAACAATTTCTATCAAATTACGCATCACCGGACCCCCCTTTCTGTTCGAAATTTTGGAGGTAAGGTGTGAAAATACGAATAAAATGGTCGAGCGATTTTGATTAATCACCTAACACCTAAGAAAACCAAGGTGGAACGTTTATCTCTCTGTATATACAGGGTGTCCCACAACGTTTTACCCAGGTGATAACTTCGGAAGGCATCATCGAATATTCCAGTCTGTAATTTTTTATTATTTTCTTCAACAAAGCCTAGGTAAATATGGCATTACCGATTTTGTAATTAAATTTTTTAATGAAAAATGATATAATACCATCAGCTACATTTAAGATTCTGAAGTGACCGTCACTTGACCAAAACTGAAGCGAATGTGAAATTGGATGATGCATGTAGAATCGGCACAAAAAGTTACCCAGATCCCCAAAATTTCAATTATTTTGGATGACGCGTTCCGATGTTATCACCAGTGTCCTTATTCTTGAAACAGGGGAGCAGCGTTCCCAGGAGAACGAGTGTTCTGTCTTTCTCAATGATATGAAAATGATAACATAGGAAACAAAGACAGAATACTCGTTCTCCAGGGAATTCTGCTCCCCTGTTTCAAGAATAAGGGCTCTGGGTAAAACGTCGTGGGACACCTTGTATATACAGGGCGGGGTACGAAAAACTTCCCACCCAGGTTTTTTCAGATGTTAGGTGCATAATCAAAAATCACTCGAACATTTCATTGATATTTTCACCTACCTACCTGTCAACCCCTAAGCGGGGGTGACATGTAATCCCAAAATTTCAAATAGAATAATGCGTCATTTGATGGAAAGTTTTATTAAGATTATATTCTCGAAACTCTAAGTTGCGGCAGGGTGAATAGCAATGAAGTATTAAGAAAGTTTGGAATGGGCTTTGCGTCATTCAAGTGATTCCATAATGAGATAGCGCCAGTAAGGGCAGAAAATCTATCGGATCTCCCGGATCTCTCACTCTAACCCTGAGTAAGATAGCCGTAGTAAAGGCTGTTCTCTCACTCTAATCTTGGCCGCAAATATACGTATTGAGTAGATTGGCAAGGGGCCATTTCAAACCTTCTGACTACTTCATTGGTAAATAGTCTCTGCCGAAATGGCGGCTCTTCAAAGTTATGAAATATGTAGTACATTGTATCACTCGTACCCCCTTTCCATCGTCGAAAATTGATCAATTTTTAACCGGAGTCCTATACTTATATATTCGAGGATTTCTATTATATCTCCTGACTATTTAACCCAACTTCTGATTTCATATAGGTGCAAGTTGATTTTATTGAATTTATTCTTTAAGCAAAAGCTGACCATATATTTATCAATACAATTTTTTTAATTAGTTTTCTGGAAACTTAAATCTTTTATATTTTCATTTCATGATGATGATATGGCCAGCGACTGTTAATGAACTTATATGGCAATTATATTGAGATACATTGTAATATTATTTTTCTTTTGAATTTGATTTTATTTAAAGTGTTTTAACAACAATTGATTTTATATTTTTAAATTATTCAATACTTGTTTTTTGACCTCACTGTGAAAATATATACTATTTTGATTTGAAAATTTCTTGAGTGTTTTATTCGTTTCACCTATGTCAAGATTTGGTTGAGTTATATGCCTTATTTATTTCCTTTTTAGAATTATCAATTACCGTTTGCTGATTTTTTTTTTAGGTGTGTTCCTGAATTTTCACAATTCAATATTTAATGTAATTTAATTCTTTATTTTTTAAATTCAGTGGCGCCCTTGCCATTCTGTACTTATTAAACTATTGACCCACCCCTAATAATTCTTCGCTGAGCAAACTGAGCATATTATGGACCTCTTGTTAATTCATTAACAAAAGGGGTTATCAATAAACCTCTTGGAAAGGTCAAGGGTCATAGGGACGAAGGCAGGAGATCATTGAACATTTTCTGAGACATGAGGGATTCAGTTTTCGAACTTCTTGGACTAGATGTTATTTTATCAAAGGTTACCTCGTTACTTTTTGTAGTATATATTTCAAGCAGAACAATTTAACGCCATTGCGGACAAGCATTCAAAGGCACTTGTCGTACGCAAGTCAAAAAAATAATTTTTCTTGCAAAATGCAAGACCATTATCTGATGGAGTGCACAATCGCCATAAGTCACAGAACGCATTCTCAGCTGGTGTTTTCAGTGTCCTATTCTATTATTATTATTATAAATCTAAATTTTTACAAAACATATACACAAGGAATTAATAATTAGACAATTTTGTACATGAAAAACTTTTTTGTGTGTATACTTTGCAAGAAAAATCCTAATTCAAAAAATAAAGCTGCCGACTTTTTAATACTTAAATTAGGTTTAGAAAAAAACTACCAATCTATCTCTCTGACTGAGACTTGACTATCTAGAAAACGACACTTACCTTCATCATAAGCAATAAAGTATTAAAAACAATAAGCATCATTATGAAATATTCAAACGGTGTCGACACTACGATCCTCCATATTTTGTATTTTAAACTACTTCGTTTGCTTGGCATGTACCTTTCCAATGGTCTGGCTTGTATACAAAAGTCTATACAAGATTTCTACAATGCATAAAGAAATTTTTTTTGGTTATCACTAATCCTGAGATTGATTTTTACCTGATTTTTATCAATTTCTCCACTTTGCAGTTCGGCTTCGCCTTGTTCCTGAAAAGTTATGATGATCAAGGCGACGAAAATGTTAACGAAGAAGAACGGGAACACTACGAAGTAAACGATGTAGAAAATGGACATTTCTATTCTAAAATTTTGGATGGGGCCTTGGTCGCTGTAAGTGGCTGCCATCGAATTTTGTAGGACTCTGTATTGGGTATTAGAGATAATATAGGTATTAGAACTTAAATTTTCAAATTTTGTTAAGGAAATATTACGTTGGCCATCCTTCGCCTGTTTGTACTGCAAATAGGGTCAGCATGGCCATAGCAACATCATCGTAGTGAAATTTTTGCTGTTGCCATTTTCGTTCTTCGACTCTAGGGACGTCACTGTCTTCTTCATACACAAAATATTGGCCTCTGAAAAGGAAAAATGTTTTGAGAGTTTTGAAGTGTTTTTGTCAACAGTACCTATCGCAAACAATTTATATTATTTTAATGATTTACAGGTTTGCGAGTGAACGACAAAATGGAATTTATCCTTTGTTCTAAAAAATAGCACACAGTGGGACCAGGAACAAGGAAAGCTCTAATACGATCACTCTTTTCGCAAAATGCAGAAACACCTAAGTTTATTAAATTTATTTTCCTATCGTTTGGTAATATTTTCAAACCTTGATTTTGTCAACCCCCTCGAGTAGGTACCACATCTATTGAAAGTCCATATTTATGCCTTAACGCTATTACAACGTCATCATATCGCAAGCTTAGAGTTGTTCAATCGGCGGAAATTAAACTGTTTATATTTGAGTTAATAAACTGGACAAACATTGATTGGACCAAGAGGAGTTGCAGAACTCGATGTCCTTCTCAAAAAATAAATTGGTTTATTTTGCATGAGTTAACAAGTCAGAAACCGACGGTTGGTTTTTAAAAAATAACTTTATTAACAATCTGAAAATTTATACTACCGAAAGCACGTTACAATTAATGTTAAAATTATAAATAATTTCAACTCACTGACTATTATCATAGGAAAATATATATATTTATAATAAGCTGAAAAGCAGAATAAGCATTTTAAATGAGGACTCAGCAAATAGACGTGATATAACTCCTCCCTTCTTAGCTCCAATTTCCACACTAGCGGAGGAGTTGAATACTCTGGTTTTCTTCTGGACCGGGGGTGGACCCCTTCTTCTTCATGACGGCTTTTACATATTTCATGTAAACCAAGAAGATACATGTAATAACGATGAGGACATATATAAGGGTCCCAAGGCTAGGCATTCTATTAATTTCGGTGAAAGTCAGTTGTGGGCGTATGTCCATTACTTCTTTGCTCAATTGGTGAAGGTCGTCTAATTTCAAATACTTTAGGTTTAGATGTCGACTTAGATTGAGGCGAGTGTCTTTGGTATGTCAAGAAACAGTATCGGTCGAATATCGGTCTTGATTATCCTATTTTCGTTGCTAATTATTTTGTAAGTGGTGGCCACTTGACAAACCAATTGGTATTTAAAGCATAAATGTTTCAATGATGTTTTGTACTTCTTTTTGTTGAAAGCATTTGAGACGGATAGCTTTTTTGATAGGAACAACCAATATCCATTGATTGGAATCGTCCAATCCCAATCGATTGATGATAATTTGCGGGATTTTAACTTCGGTTTGTTCGGAGGTGGAGGTGGATGCATAATTTTCAATTTTGGAAAAGTTGAGGAATTTTCTTATCTTGTTAAATAGAGTCAATTTTCTCATAGATATTGACTATTTGATTTATTATGTCTTTGATTTAGAGGGAATTTTCTCTATATGCTGCCTTTTGTGTACCATGTGTGCAATTTGGTTAATGTTTGATTCTAGAAGTTTTTCGTTGTGATTCATTTGTTAAATAGTTTGGTCAAATTTTTCGATTACTGTTAGAGAAAGCGACTTTTGTTTCAGAACATTTCCTTGTAAATTATTTTCATTGCTTTGTAATTCCCTAATGATGTGCTCGTAACGTTCTCTGTCAGATGCGTCTAGGTTTCCAGTTAGAAATTTGAATATTGAGCCTAAGCCATTAATTAATCCTCTTTTGATTCTTTATGGCTGAGGAATAATTTCTGATATTTTGTATCAATTCTATTCTGTGTTATTTTTAACAAATTTATGTAATTGCTAATGTCTTGATGTCCATTAAGAATGTTTGTAATATTATTAGATTTTATGTGAAGTTTATTTATTTCACGTATTATTTGAGAGGAATTATGCCAGGATTGTCAGACAATTTTCTGATGATTATTTGTTCTTGAGTTCCAAGCGCGTAGGAGAAAAGCTGAAATATAATACTTAGTGTTATAAAGCTAAAAAGCAAGCGTACGAGATAAAATGCATATAAAATAGTTAATAAGAGTAATTGTAATATAATATTTTATTCTTAAAACTAGGTGTCAAAACTAAGTATATGTATTTCTCAGGGGACTTTTGATGTTACCCATGTGTACCTTTTCGTGTGAGGTCGTTGCTATTGTTTTGCGTACTGGGTCAAATGGTTTTAACTTGTGCCTGATGTGTTAACTTATTACTAATTTTTGACGTGTATACTTTTCAATGTAGGTATATTTTTGGTTCTTGGTGGAATAATGTTTGTTTATCGGTTTCAATAATATTTCCTATAATTTTTTATTTTTATGTTCTGTGACATAATCTGTCAATAAAAGTTGGTCTAACTTCAGGTCAAATGAATCATTTCAGCTAATGTGTCCTGAAATAATATCTATTGGTTTAAATTAAGTCACCGAATGAATGGTGTGATTATATGCTGGTAGTGCATATATATATATATATATTTTTTTTCTGATAGGTTTCTTTAGAAAGCCACGATTATTTAAAATTCTTACGTGTTCAGATAAGGTGGAGTGTAATCTCTCAATAACACCATTTGACTGGGGATGATCGGACGAGCAAAAATTAATTTTTATTTATGAAGTTGTAATAATTCTGTCACAACTGTATTTTTCAAATTCAGTTTCGTTGTCTAAAATGATTTTGGATGAAACACCGTGATGTGAAAAGAACGATATTAAATTATCGCTAATTTCAGTGGCTGATAATGAATTTATAGCGTAAGCTTGTGCATACAATAATTGTGAGAAATGTAACTTTATCTAATTTATATATATCAAGCACATACAGGTGTTAAGTCATCTAGGTGCTTTAGTTAGTTATATATAATATTAGTATTATAACATAAATTTAATGTAACAATATTTGTAACTATTTTGAAATAAATAAATAAACTTGAAATAAACTTGAAATAAATAAAATATGTATAAAGGTGAATAGTTTCGAAATGTTTGGTTGCCACGGGTGTAATATTCATTTCCATGTTAAGTGGGTGCCGTTCGTATTTACTTCGTTGGCATATTCCTCATTCATTGATGTACGACTGAATAGACTCTTTGAGATTTGGCGAGTAATACCTTTCTTTGATACGTACTTCGGTTTCCTCGATTCCGCCATGGTTTGTCTTACTCTCATGGAAGTTCTGTATTATTTTCGGTATACTTTGTTTGTCTACTATGTCGATTAATTTTTTCAAACATCTCTTAATCGAGGGCCATTTAAAAAAAATTTCTAACCACTTCCAGAATGGTTCATGTATCCTGGTTCTCAAACTAAGCATAGAATAATTTACCTGGCACAACGTTTTCCTTTATAAAATTAATTGCATCATTTTCAAAAGATTTTCCGAAATTTGAACCAAAAATCTTCTTTCCTTTTCAAATAAAATTAGTCGTTTTGTTTTGGCAGGTGAGTGCATGTCCTTTGTGACGATTATTTGATTTGCTCCATAGTTAACAGCAGATTCTCCAATTGGAATTCCAACAATATGGTCTTATTCGGCATTAGTATGGATAGTTTCATCATCATCTTCAGCTATTGGTTCGAGGTCAGGTTGCGCAATAGTTGATATTTTGTCTAGGTACTCAATCATTTGCTGGTCTTTAGGGGTTATTTTCCATTCTAGCTTCTTCCTCTAATCCCTTATTGAATTTTTCAACATATGATACTAGATTCGATATATTGCCGGTTATGTAATTCAATACGGTTTCGGGTTGATAGAGACGAAAGGGGGAAGAAAAGTGGGGCGTAACCTGAAAATATTCACTGACACCTCAACTGACACGGCTTGATGACAGCCATGTCTTTGGGTTCAGTGGCACCAGGCCCTGCGATCTCTCATTGCCAGTTATAAACCACATAATAACTCTTTTCCGTTTTTCTAGATGTCGCTAACAACCACAGAATTGTCAAAATTGGAAAATACCAGCACATCAAGAACACGTCCGATGTCGATAACATTGACATGAGATTGACATGTCAACATATGACAATATGCCAAAATATTCATTTGATCATAACTAATAATTCATAATGTTTTTTGTTCGCCGGTCTTGCATTTCATCTTTCTTTCTGTTGTCAAGTATTCTTAAGTGATATCAAAGTTGTTTTGTGTGTTTCAAGAAGAACTTCAAACTTTATAGATTGGAAGATCTATTTTTATCTTTGTTGATTAGATAAATGACAGGATCAATTAAACATCAATCAGAACTTTGAATAAATATGTTAAGGATCCCTTAACCATCGATAAAGAAACTGTCTTTTGATCTAATTAACAAATTATCAATTAATTTAAGCAAACATTAATGCCCCAAAGTCTAGAATAAACGAATTTGAACAGACCGACAGTAATGCGAACAGGGTGCCATCTATCATAAAAAGTCCTATGTAAAGTAGGTGTCTGTAGCATCGATGCAAAACCAGTAAATAGTGATTTTCCAATGTGGTAGATGGCGTTGGCTTGGCTCAATTTTGTTGACAACACAATTTACACTGAGATTCCATTCTCGACAGTTTATATAGTATTTATCTCTGAGTGGCACCGAAAACGCCAAGAAAGTGAACCAATAAAATTATTAGAATTTTTTTTTTTAAGTTTCGCCAATACCACGCCACTATGCTGTCGTTCATGCTCTAACCTTAGGCTCTAACCGATAGAATCATGACTCTGAATAATCACGCCTCTCCACATCCATCATTTCGCAATGTTGCCGGATTTTTTTCTACTTCAAAATACTACACATGCCCATATAGCAAATAAAAATATGTTACCAACTTGTTTATTAGTTTCCATCAAGTTTGGCAAAGCAGCAAATTCTATTGCAGTTCGCCGTTTGGCTAGCCAGACAATAGTTTGTTTCGCCATCGTGCCATTTTCGATGTGAGGTCTTTTAAATTTAAAAGCCATTTCAAGGGCTTATGGTCCATAATGATATTGAATTTTTGTCCGTAAAGGTACGGTCGGAAGTACTTCATCGCCGAGATAAGACACAGGCACTCCTTTTCAGTAGTTGAATAATTTTTTTCTGAAT